GCATTTTGGCGACGAAAGATTAGGATTGACCATTTTGGGTGAGACAATACCTCATTGCTGAGCCTCCAGCGCGAGAAGATGATGAAGCCACACCGGAGCGTTACGGGCGATGTAGGATTGATGACGAAGGTCGCGCGTGACACTCAAAGCAATTGCCGCTGCAGCTTCATTGCGTTCGGGAAGGGCATGATCCAAACTCCATGAATCAATCCTTGCAAGGAGGAAGAAAATGCTGTGACGTATATGGCTGAGACTAAGGTAATTCGTCAGGGTAAGAGCATCATGTAGGGTTGCAGAGGCAGTCTCAAAAATAATATTCGAGAAATGTAGAGTATGCAAACAATCGACTGCCCAAAAGAGAGCCCACAAATCTGCTTCTGTCTTTGAGCGCATACATGAGTAAGCATGACGGCTATGCAAGATTGTGGACCCTTTTTCATCCCGAAGGATCCAAGAAGCACCCGCAGTATGGCTTGAATGTACCCACGAAGATCTAACATTACATTTGAGGAAACCAATAGGTGGTTTTTTCCATTTAATGGTTTCCGGAACAACCTCATCACCTCCTTCCTTCCTACCAGAGAAAGTATCGAACCATGTGGATTCTTCCTCATAAGCTTTACTAGCAATGAAAGATGCCTCTATCCTCTTAGACTCAAAAACGAAAGCGTTTCTAGCTTTCCAAATTTCCCATAACAACCATGGGAAAACATTCCTTGTATGAATATCCATAGAGGGGCTATTGTGAATCTTGATCAAGTGCACAAAATTTAAAAAAGTGGAATTCCGAGAGAAACCTCCTAATGGTACTGGAAAATTGGAAAGCTCCCATGTTTCTCGTGCTTTATCACATGTAAAGAGAACATGACAGATACTTTCCGGACCATTACCACAAACAGAACAAGTTGGATCAATCGGAATCCCCCGAGTAGTCAAGCGCTGCTTAACTGCCAAAGCACCAGATAATGCCCGCCACATAAAATGTTTTATTTTTGGGGGAGCTTTAGTTTTCCACATTTCTCTCCACAGTTGCCGTTCAACCGGAGTAAGTGTGTGTCCTTGAGGTTGGTCAAAATCCACCAATGCCTCTAACAACTTGTACCCACTACGAGTAGAATAACACCCATTCGTTGTGAAGCCCCATCTAATAGAATCATCATTTACCATTGATGGCTTAAGAAGAAGAATCCTTTGAACATCTTGTGGTGTAAAAGTTTGGTGAAAAACTTTTTCAAAAGTTTGAAAACAAAAGATATATCCACCCTCTCAAAGAACGGATTATAATATAATCAATACTGTTGAATTTGAAACATGTCCAAATGATAATATGTCCAAAACCACCACTTTATTTGCTAAATAATTGGCGGCAACCACCATAAAATGTAACCAACACTTTTTAAAATAATTTTCATCCTAAATTCTCGATACCAACACATATAGTACATACAATTTTTTTTTTTGAAAATATATATTACCTACGGTTATATAAATTAACAAATATTTCTTCTTTTGGGTTTATATCAAATGTGGTTTCATCCTAAACCAGTTTTTATTTAATCATTCCATTGATTTAAATGAAATCCATTTTAAATATTGTGTAAGTTTAAATGAACATCTAATAATAACATTAAATAATTATTTATGAAATCAAATCATGGATATTTAATGAAAATATATAATTTATCTATTTAATTGCTACACAAAATTATAATTATACTTTGTTACTTAAAAAAATAATTAACCACTATTTAATAATAAAGTCTAAATTAATGTATAAAATGGCTATGACACAATTGTATAGTTATGCAACATCACAAATTCAATACATTTCTCAAAACTTCTTACTAATAATTTAAAAAAATTATTATACACAAACGTATAAATTATTTTTTATAACATATAAGAAAAAAATGCATACAAATGTTATATATTTACACAAAAAATAGAAACCAACATTACATCGAAACTTTAAGCACGGGTTAAGTTCTAAAATAGATAAATACGATTACAAGGAAACGAACATATATGTATATAATTACAAAGAAACGAGTGAATGCGAGCAGGTCAATTTTTAAATTGCTTTTATTTATAAAATAGAAGTTGATTAAGATTTATACACTGACATGATTATACAAACAAAAAACATAAATATAATTCCAAAAAATACAGATATAAAAATTAAATGTCTAAAAGAAAAACAAAACAAAACATATACCCGCCCTTTTAAGGGCGGGTCAAAATCTAGTTAAAATCATAAAACATACTCCATCGGTTTCAAATTAGATATAACATAAAAATATTTAAATATTCAATTTTATCTTTATTTAATATTTTCTTTGAAAAAATTAGTTAGAGGCAAAAGATGTAAATAAATATGAAAATTTTATTAGAATCATATAACATTTTTGTTTTGTAACAATTTTTTTGTCAATATTTAAATACGTATTTAGTTTATAATGGAACGAGTATTTTTATTTTTCGCTAAAAGATCTCAAACCCTCGATCTGATTATTTAGGGGGTGATTGGTAGTTGCTGTAGCTGTCCACAGTCCTATTTATTTATAGAGCACTAAATTCAGAGCAATCAAATTTTAAATTTCTTTTTGAAACCACAGCTCTTGCAATGACCTACAGCTATACAAGTGCTCTGCAGAGCCAAATATCCAAAGCAATTATTTAGTGTTTTCCAAAAAATCCACAGCAATAAAATCTAAAACCACAGCAAAAAATTTACAGATTTTTTCTACAGCAAAAACTTTAAAGTTATAGATTTTTTTCTACAGCAAAAACTTTAAAGTTATAGCTACATTTTATCAAACAAAATGAGAAAGAAAGAAAAAAAAATAAGATAGGAGGAAGTAATATTTACTTGGCGGCCCCATAGTTTACAAGATTGGCGAAGAGGATACCAATACTCCAATAGTGACGTTAAGCTGAAAAAGAATATTAAGACCACCTCGGATCCTAGTAGGTGCGATCTCCGACAAGAACAACGGGACGGCTTGATTAGCAAACCCAACTCCACAACCAAGCAGTATCCTACCTGCAATAAGCATGGCTAAGTCTTGTGCCGCAGCATTGAGAACCACACCGACGATGTTGAACATGCCAGCTATGAGCATGGTTGGCCTTCGTCCGAGCTTTCTCGTCGTATATGAAGCGAAGAACGCTGCGGTTAGACCGGCTAAGTATAGAGATGATGTGAAGAGTTGTAGTCCTTGGTTGTCACATTTGCAGTAGTTGTGTTTCTTGGCGCCGGATTTCACTCTCCCGTAGACCACCGGGAAAAACTTTTTCAGAAATTCCGGCATCGCTGTCACTCCGCCTACATATATGTATTGATGATGGTAAATTAATTACTCTTCATTTGCTATTATTTACCGTCTAGAACTCGTAAGATATGATATTGTATTCATAATATATTTTAGTATGTATTATGAGTGTGCATGAATTGTAGTTTCTTGGTAGACGATACAATAACAAGCAGTTGTTCTCAAACAAAAAGAAAAAAAAGCTAAATCTGTGACGTTCATTTTATCATAGGATTTGTAGGCTTAGATTTTGCATTATTTTGTTGCTTCCAGTAACTAACTGGCAGTACTGAACTAGTTGGTACATATTTCGATTTGGTCCTCTTTATTTTAGGTGAAATGTTTCTATCAAAGAAGTTGTTTGTGCAGTAACCATGTCCTATTTAAAAATATTACTTGAGAATCTTGCAGCAACACATAGTTATATATCCTTCAAAATAAATAAAATATCCACTTTTACTTTTAACATCTACATTTCAAAAGAAACTAGCAAAGGAATATATATTGTATTCCTACCGGAGATACCAACGTCGTAACCGAACATGAGGCCACCGGTAGCAGCCATGATGCAAGAGATGATAACTATAGGAGTAATCTTTGTCTCAAACTCCACTCCGTGTGCCGGAGCCAACGCAAATCCTCCGCCGGCCATCCTCAAGATCTCTTCTTTTCTTTAGTGAGTTTAAAAATAAGGAACACTTAACTAAAGAGACCATTATGGTGTTTTGCATTTTATAGAAGAAGAGGCAGCGAAGCACGAAAAAAGAAATGTCTGCAGCCAATGGGAGGATTACACGTCTTTTTATGATCAAATGCTCCTGATTCCTATAAGTCATCATCAAGTCATTGGTCAGCAAACGATTCTTATGTTTCTTTGTGGTGACTCCTTTAGTCCTTGCCCCTCAACATGTTGTGAGAATATTGCTATCGAATCAAAATATCTCACCTTTTAGAAAACGATTCGGGCCATTAATCTCTAGGTCATACAAATTTGCTGTTATGTAGCTTGTATTTTCTTAGTAAACATTGTCCCATTGCGTTGTTTTCGTATATTAAATGGTGTTAAGAGCCTGCGGGACCAAAAGTGTGTTTTACTTTCGTAACATTATTATCCTGTTAAAAGTTGGAGTCAAGGATTCTATTTTGATAAAATAGCAAATGAAAGAAACAAATAAACGATCATTTTCCAAGAAAAATAAAAGATAGGAGAAGAATACGCTAACAAATTAGAAAGCTCATCTCATTGCAATGTTAGAAGATATGTCAAAGGGAACAATCAAAGCCAAAAAGAAGAGTTTGCAGCCAGAAACTAATGCCAACGTATTAAGCAAAAAAAAAAAAAAAAAACTAATGCCAACGTATCAACGATTGGGTTTCTGAGACTCAACTGTTTCCCTTCTCCTAGCCGAGAAGAATTTGCTCTTTTTTAACAACTATTTATTTAAATAAAATGTAAAACTACAATAATAGTATAGAAATCATAGAATTACAGGTAATGCAAAACTAAAATTATAAAACATTAAAACATAAGGACGAAAATCTGAAGAAACTTTCTTGTGGATCATCTTCTTTCTTCTTATATAACACCATCTATATTTAGCTATTATCTTTGGGCTTTTTGCAAATTTGACTCAAAACTCCAAGTCAAACACAAAACTAACCTCTTCTTTTGACTCATCTTGTTTTTGTCCTATTCACCCCACATCTTCATTTTATTTACGAAAATGCCATTTATATGTTTTTTGAATTTTTTTTCGAAAATGGCATTTTTACTCTCTCAACCTCATCATCTTCAAGTATTTACAAC